GATAAACTACAGATATGTAGATAGTTTATATACACACACATATACGTGTAACTGGATGGATGGGTAGATGGCATTAATACAGTGTTTGATATAGTTATCTAAAAACCATAATATAGGGACTTTGTATATAGTTCTGTGATAGAGTATTATTTGTGGAACCCCGGGTTCAATTCTCAGTGCTAAATTAAATTAAGTTTGATTAAAATTTAAAACTATAATATCAATCTCCTATTTTCACTTACTTAATATCTGAAAAGATGTTTCTCTGCTCCAATTTGCCTTTTAATTTGGGTTTCATTCATTCATCTATTCAAAAATCACTAATTGAATGCTTACTTGGGTTTTAATACTAGAAATACAAAGACAAATGGGACACTAAATTTGCCATCAGAAAGCCATTGGTCTCTTATGCTGTTCATCATCCATGAAGTACATGTCTGAACCATGGATGGGAGAGGGGGAAGGGAAGGAGGGAAGAGAGAGAGAGAGATGGGCCAAAGTCTTAGATGAGGACACCTGGTGGGTGGCTTGGGGTTACAGCTCTGCCAGAGGCTCAAGCTATAACCCTGGAACGCTCTCATTACACCCTCAAATTAAACAGTTTCATTTAACACTCTTTGTAAACTGCAAAATACTTTTTAAATGTAACTTTGTGTCTTTTAAATTTCTTTCTATAAAAATACCATGATTTTTAAGTACAACTTTGATCCTGTGATCAAGTGCTTCCTTCCTTCTAATTTTCTATTTCAGAACTCCAACACCATAAATAAAACCCAGTAAATTTCCAATGCATCTTGTAAAACAGAAAGCAGGCAGGTGCACCATGATCTTGGAGAGAGAAAAGGTGGGCTGCTAAACTAGAAGCCCTGTGATTCAATCGATGTCGCAAACACAGACACTGTGATTATTCTCTTTCCCTATTCTATGTTACAAATTCCTGCTGTTTTTCTTGGTTTCTGTAATTTAAAAAAAAAAAAGTAACTTCAAGGAAATTTTGTTATAATAATACATGGCATGAAAAGATCTCTTGCCAGTGTCACTCTTGTCCTAGAACTGAGCCTCTTCTAGCTTTCATGATTGAAAAATACCAAAGAAGGTTCTGGTTGATAACTGACTAGGAAATGCAGTACAATACTTTCTTACATTGACTCAATCATTTTGGCAAGATGCTTATTTTTCCCTAAGGCCAGTCATACCAAAATCTACAACTGATAAGTAAGAGAGCCTTTTTTATTCCTGGACAAGTTGTATGCAGAAGTCATTGCAAGGCATAATCAGCTCCATGGAAAGAGTCTGAAAGATCTCAAAGAGGATCCACAAAATGGCTTACTGGAAAAATTCCTTGATTGGACCTAGTTGTGTATAGAGAGATGTTTAGTTTGTTTCCTGGTTCATGATGTGGGAGTTTTGTCATCTTCTTCATTACCACATAGTAGTTTGATGGCAGCTTACTGTATTGGCCAACTGCTAATTGCTAATCTCTTCCCTTAATAAATTGGTATAGTCTTGTTTGAAAGAGTCATATTCCATTAAGAAATGAGAAAAGTAGGTAGGATTCTTTCTATCCATAAAAAAAAGAATGCTTGCCTGTTCTTATTCTGAATGATGAGTTTCATTCTAAAATATGTATTTTTAAATATTGCCTACATGTATGTGAATGCACCCACGTCGTGTCATGCAATGCCACAGAGGGTCAGAAGAGGGCTTTGGATTCCCCTGGAACTGGAGTTAAGGACAGTTCATAGCCGCCATGTGGGTGCTGGGAATCGAACCTGGGTCCTCTACAAGAACAGTCAGTGCTCTTAACTGCTGAGCCATCTCTCCAGCCTCTAATATAGATAGATGATAGATGATAGATAGATAGATAGATAGATAGATAGATAGATAGATAGATAGATAGAAGACAGATAGATAGATGATAGATAGATGATAGATAGATAGATAGATAGAAAGATAAATAAATAGATAGATAATTTGCCATCAGACAAGCTATGAAAAACTTGGAAACTTAGTCTCAAGATAAAGATATTGTGTATATTCTTTCTTTCCTGATTTTCCCTTCATTTTTTAAGTTGAAGACTTTTTTCTGTATTTAAAATGTAATTTCAAGGCAACAGATATAAAGAATGACTTATAAATATTTGTGTACAAAGAGCCTAGGAAATGGAATTCTGCTTCATTGGGTTCAAAGACATCAGCACTTAAACTTCTCACCATGAAGGCTTTTGGGAGAATGGTGTCTGCCATGAAAGTATACGTATCATATTTAAGTGGACACATTTGGGACACAAGAAACTAAAAACAAAAAAAAAAAAAAAAAAAAAAAAAAACAACATTATTTTGGGAAAATGTGCTGAGCCTTTTCTCTAAATATAAAGTGGTATTGCATCAGTCCTGGTCACTTTTTAGCCACATATGACAAATGATCACAGATGCTCATAAAAATCTAAAGTCAGCTGTTATTCTCATCTAAAATAGCTAAGTATATTTCCTTGAAACTGTATCTTAAAACAAAAACAATCTTTACCACTTTGAAGAAAATGCAGGAAGCCATATGGTCCCACCCAAGGTTCCTGCATGCAAAATGTCCTCTTGGGGAAGAAGGATTGAGGTGTTTTTAAGAACAGAGCTTTTATGTTTCTGCCCATTCACAATGGCACTTCCTGTTTTGACCTCTAGCTACACTAAGGCGATCAAAAAAGCAGATCATGGACTTCTCCTTTTCACAGAGTCGACAGTGTTTATATTTTCCCTTACCAAGTACAGAGTTCAACTGGAGAATTGCCACTGCTCAGTTCTCCTGAGCTCTTGTAAATTAATCTATGGTAACCCAACAAACGGTTCAGTAATTTATAGTAGCCTAGCCATGAGCCTGGCATTGAGATCAATAGAAGGCGTAGTATTCCTTATCTGACATGAACATGACACTGCATACCTCTTCTAAATAGCCCCTGTGTTTCACTGAAAGTTTTAATCCATGCCTCTTCTAAATGGCCCTTGTGTTTTATTAAAAAATTTTTTCTGTTGTTGTTGTTTTATTTGGTCTTTGAGACAGGGTCTCCCTGTAGCTCCAGCTGTCCCAGTACTCACTATGTAGACCAGGTTGGCCTTGAACTCACAGAGATCCACCGAACTCTGCCTCCACACACACACAGGCACCCATGCACACATTCACCAACACACACATGGCGAGAGAGAGAGAGAGAGAGAGAGAGAGAGAGAGCCAAAATGTTAGGACAGAGAAAGAAAGAAGAAAAGAAGGAAAAAGGAAGGAAGGAAGGAAGGAAGGAAGGAAGGAAGGAAGGAAGGAAGGAAAAATTATAGTAGAATGACCCTCTAGTAAAAAACAAGCAGAATGACCCTCTAGTAAAAAAACAAGCAAATAAACTAGTTTTTAAGGTCAGTAATCAGATCATCTGCTGCTTTCCAAAGTCAGAAAATCATATTCATAAAGAAAATTGAGTAGTACTTAGTATAAAAAATTAGTCATGTGACTTTTTTTAAGTAAATGCAAAGCTGGGTATGAAAGCACATTTAATTACACCAACACTTGAGAGGCAGTAAGAAAGGACAGCTACCACATCAAAATAAATCTAAAAGTATCTTGGAAGGGAATGTTCTCAAAATCTTCTGTAGCATGACTTTTAAAAGGGTAGTATTACTGGGGCTGGAGAGATGGTTCAGCAGTTAAGAGCACTGGTTGTTCTTGCAGAAGACCAGAGTTCGAATTCCGGCACCCACATGGCAGCTTACAACTGTGGGTAACTCCAGTCCCAGGAGATCTGACAGCCT